CACATGTCTGCACACATTACAGTAGCTGTTAGCACAAAGTGTGGCAGTATGGGGTCTTTGTGTTGAAAATACCCAAAAATATATTCATTAATATATGTGTTCATGGGATGTGGTCATGAACAACTTAAAGGGCTCTATTCTACCCAAAAAGCATAATAGGGCCCCTTTAAGAAATGATAAGGAAAAGAGTCATTTGAAGGAGAGTGCTTTCCAAAAAATGAAAACAGTCCCTAGAAAGTCTTATCCCTGATGTGCGTGTGTGTACCTCGATGTATTTTTTAGTGTGTGAGTTGTGTGTGTGTACCTCGGCCACTTTGAGGAACTCTGACAGCTTTGTCATCCTGCAAAGGAATTTCTTGTAGATGTCCAGAGCATCTTTGCATTGGTTCTTCTTCATGTCAAAGTATTTCTTGTGGAGACAGAAATAGAAGAGTTAACACATTAAGGAATAGAACTTGCTAAACGGAGGGAGGGAGAAAGGTGTCAGGAACAGCTTGTGGAAACTTGTGTTGGGTTTATATTTACATATTCGCCAGACACGCGGTGTGTTTTACCCAATAGGTTGATGACCCCTTCATTGTAAGCAGCAAACAGCCTTATGGAGTCTTTGAAGAGCAGCATGAAGGCCGAGTTGATCACTCCGTTGGTCAGCCTCATTAGGATTGGCCTGAGGGGAGAACAAGAGAGGGGAAGAGGGGTAAAGGAAACTTCTCTATAAAATACTTTGACATACATTTTCCAAACACCATCCCCTCCCTTGCTATCGGGCATCTCGACACACTGTCCAATTTATTTTAGGTGGGAAAGAGGAAAGAAACATCATTCGCAGACACGCGCATTCCAATGATAACTTTCACCGTCCTTTTGTATCGCTCTTTGAAGCTCGCTGGCACAAACCACAATGCAACCCACCAATTTCTTCAAATCCTCTCTCCCTTTAGTACACAAACAATGCTAGAACTCAAAAAAATTGTACGCTTTCTTACACTCCATCATAATAAGAGAGGCTTCAAACTTTGCAAACTGTTTCAATTTACATTTTGATTGGAAAAGCGACACACACACACACACACACACACACCACACCACACACACACACACCACACACCACACACACACACAACACACCCACACACAACACACACACACCACACACACACACACCACACACACACACACACAACACACACACACACAACACACACCACACAACACACACACAACACACACACACACACACACACACACACACACACACACACACACACCCACAACACACCACACACACACACACACACACACACACACACACACACAACACACACACACACACACACCACACACACCACACACCACACACACACACACACAGTACCTGGAAATCCAGCAAGGCGTCTTCTGATGATCAGCGTCTTGATCAGCTTCTCTGTGTTCATGGTACGCATCACACCCGTCAATCCTGACACAACAGGAAACAAAACAAACAATTGTAGCGGTAGACTTGTTTTACGGAAATTCATATGCAAATTAAGAAAGTGGTGAGAAACGAGGGGGAAAAAGGTGTTTTGCATACAAACGTTTGCTCAGTTATGCACATGAACTTAAGATACGTTTTTTTCCAATTCAAGTGTCCCGTAAAATGCCAAAACGTCACAATATCCGTCGAACACTGCCCATTGGGTTATGAAATATGGCCATTTTCTTGTTTCCAACTGCCATTTGAACCCTGAATGTGTACAAAATGGATTAAGAGTCCTCAATAACCTCCAAAACCATTCTAAATTTTGTCCCAAAGTGGCCAAGCCGTAGTTGAAATACTCTCCATTTGGGTGATTACGCAAATGAATGCAACTTTATCTAATTATGGCAATTTCCCAGCCTATGCAATTTAGCATCCAGCAGTGTCTTGAAGCTTAGGACCCATTCTATACATTCCTACATTCATAGCACTGTGAATACTCAACATTTTCAGGTTCACAGTGCTGGCAGTTAGACTATAATGGCTTTTTCGGGGGGGGTGGGGGGGGGAAGTCTTGCAAACATACGGCGACTGAAACCCATTTTGCAGAAAGATAACGAGTCTGATCAGCAGGAACGTTATCAGAGAGGATTCTGAGTCATCTACAACAGTTGGACTTTCTGATATTAGACATAATCTTTCAAACACAACCCTCAAGAAATGATGCCCCCACTGTTACCATTATACAAGTCACCAACCGCCATTGTCGTAGGTTTATGCATCACAATGGGTGACATTAAAAGGAGAAATTTGACATTTTGGGACAGAAAACAACAAAACTGTAATTTTGTCGATTGCTGTTCTATGGCTATTGTGCGATAGGCTAAGCATTGCGACAAAACGAGTGCGAAATGATGAGCGGGGTTGCCATTTACCCTCTCTTCATCTTGGTGAAGTCCACAGCCACCAGTCTGTAGGACATGGCCTTCTCGTTCAGGTAACGGCTGTACCGCCTGATGAAGGTCGACATGTCGTAGCCTGGGAGGAAGAGAGAAGGGAATATACTGAGTGTTGTATATATATAAAACTGTACAAAAACTGCAGACTTTAGTGTAGTTGATTAATTGATTTAATTTAAACTTTTGTATCTGGATTGATTCTGCAGCTCTGTTTAAAATCCTTTGAGGTTAATTCTTGCCCATTTAGTTCTTTAGGGAAACAATTAAAAAAAAATCTTAAAACTGTTTACCTTGCAGAGCTCCCTTATCCAGGAAGTTGTTCAGGTTGAACAGAGTGTTTCCTGGAGGCCAGGGTACTGGATTAAACGCTGCGAAAGAAAAGAGAAATTGTAATGATACGTCACATAAGGTTCGAGGGTTAGGGAAAAATAGTCCTGCTCCCGACTGACGGACAATTTAATCTCCAACAACAATCAAAACTCTTCACCCTTAATAACTGAAATGCATATCCTTCCTTTGTTTCCAACCGGTGATTTGCATAGCTGATAAGAACCTATCTACCGAAACGCATTTACACTGTCTGACAGACGGTAATTGCTTGTGCTCATTAGCCCAACAGCTAATAACGAAGAATGATTTGATTAATTACTGACATGAAATCAAATGCAGCGACAGCCATCTCTGCCACCACTCAAAACACTCAGAAGTTAACACTGGTGGTGATTGAATAATAAACGTAGGTTGTTAGAAGTTGTCTCATGTCCGTTTGTTTCCACTCATCATTAGGACTCCTTCAGAGTAGCTCAACCACTGTACAGGCGATTGAGGACAAATGGCAAGAGGAGGCGGTGGTGGAAAAAAATATTAATTAACCTTTGGGAGAAAGCAGAAGAACTGGCAGCACAATATATTAAATTTATATGCAAGTACCCTCTTGAAAATGTTAATGAGATCACATCTAGGAGGTACAACTTTGTCTCCAAAAAGTGATGAATCATGGCATCCCTCTCTTACAGACTTCTTCTACATCCCAGTTTGTGTTTTGAAAATGTTTCCACTGCTAACAGAAACTCGATCCCTGTGTTGCTCTTTCTTCAAACTCAACACTAGTGACTTGTTCGTTTTGACAGATCTGATGCGACTAAGCAGGTGCTGGAGCTCCCATTTTCCAGGGAAGGTTGCTCAGTGCTTCTGCTCTTTTTCAAACTCCATCTTGTGTCACATTTGCATATGCTGGTACTCACACACCTGAGTGTCGCCAGATGCATATTTTCTTTTTACTGTTGGCCTACTGAGCAGCTCTTTTAACACACCTATCATGCAAAATGCACTTTTGTACGTCTTTTCTACATGAATATGTGTCCCCGGTGTTCCAGGGAACTCACCAAGTGTCAGAAAACACAACCCTCTCTATTTTCCTCCATACCCAAATCTCTAAAAAAGGGGCTGCAAACGGATCTGATAAAAACTGATCCAGATTTGAACACTGTCCTGACGTCAGGACGGTGGCGCTACGGCTATTGGGCCAACTCCACCAATCAGGAGGAGACAGCCACGGCCATTGCCGTTCGAAAGCGCTGGAGACGCTGTAGTACATATGCCAGGCCTGTAGGTGGTGCTGTTCTCACTGAATCAGCCCTTGCTAAAAACAGAGCTAAAAAATGTCAAATTGAGCGAAATGAGGCATGGCTAAAATGCATGATCTGTTTGGTATTTTGAAAAAAGTATAAATATGCCTTATATAGGTATGGTCCTACACTATATTTATTCAAATATAGCATGATAGGTCCACTTTAAACGAGAGTTACTGCCCTATTCGAGACAACCGAAATGTTAGGATATTAAGGATGAAGAAGGCTTTACTTATTTACTATCTGAAGACCAGATTTGTCTGTTTGGGGCTGGAGATTCAGAAAGTTGTCAGACCTTTGGGTGGATGATGGTCTCCAAGCAGATGCTGTTATCTAATCAATATTCTCTAAAAATGTCTAAATGAGATTGGCTTCGAAATGTGAGCCAGCATTGGAACTCATTCAAATTAAGTCAACTCATCCCTTTAAAAAAAAAAGAAGTAAGGCACCGTTAAAAAAAACAAACAGAAAACATGTCTATGAAATCTCTATTAAGTCCATTTTATCCTTGAATTGTAGGACTTCCAAAACCTTGGGATAAGTAGATTCTGTACTGAAAGTTAAACAACCACAACTACATTCAACTGTATAAGCTAAAGATCGACCAATGCTTGCAACCGGTCTCATATTCTTTAGAAGTCAAAGGTGTTGCAATACTGTTTGTGTGTATGCTTTTAGTTATAGTACTTAGAAATATAATCACAATCGGTGGGTCAGAGTAAGTGGAATCGGCCCAAAAAAATGCACCTAGTGTCAATATACACACCTCATCTACAAAAGGTTCAGACAGTGCTAACTCAACATCAAGGCCATCATATAACTGAACAATTAAATAGGCATATGGTATGACTGACTATGAAAGATGGTATTTGCAAAGTTGTAAGACGTCAAACAGCTTAGCTTGAATTGTACATACTGTAATAAACTTACTTACTGTCGTTTTACAATCATCAGTAAATCAAATTTGATAGCCTTTTCATATGATTGAGATCAAAGAATGTTATTTTCCATCTGCTAATAACAACTTCCATACACAACCAGTGAATGCGTTTGGCCTCTGAGTCTTATTTATCTGCAGGTGCAAAGAATTCAACAACAGATGAGATTTTACAAATACAACTATATTTAAAACTTAAGGTTGAGTTTTGAGCTTTGAGATAGTCAGACATCTGTTTCCTTGATTTAAGCTTGACTACTGAACAGGATATTTAATTAATCTGCAGTGAAAACTTCCAGAAATATTGTTGCCAAGTCAAACCCTTTGGGAGACTTGAGACATGGCTTGAACTCTAGACTCTTGACTTGAGATTTAACTCGGACTCTTTCTCTTAAGACTTGAAGCCAACGTGCGTTTTGTCCCTCATGTGCGGCGCAGTGGGAAATGGTCTTGGCCATCATCCATAGTTTTGGGAAGTGACGCCTCAGGCTTCCCAAAAGCATCTTAACTTTAAGGCCGTCTCTGTCCAACTGACTTAAAATGATCCGAGATTTGCCTGTTAGCCAATTCCCTCTCTGGCAGGAAACCAGCTCTCACTGGCTGTTCAGAGCATTGGAGCCTGTTGTGGTGTGTTTGCGAACACAAATATGCTTGCGGGCGTGTGTGTTGGATTCAGCTTGCACTGACACATTTCCAAGGCTCTGAGATTGTTTAAAAATGCATAAAGGATTTGAGTTTGTTTCTTATCGCTTTTTTTGTGTGTATGCTCACGCTTTGGGGACAAAATGTTGTTTATGCCGTCCCATGAAGGGATTCAGATCCTATCTGTGGAAAGGAATTTGGCCAGCAGGGGGCGACTCAACTGGTGGCAAAAATGATTCCGATTGTATAGAAGTCTATGAGAAAATGATCCCACTTCTCACTTGATTTGACCCTATGTAAAAAAAATTCTGACAAGTTTATGGTCTCTATCCGTAGTTATAAGTCTTCTTTGATACACCTTCAAATTCAATTAGTAAATGATGGCCCCATTGTAGTAAAATAGACAATAAAGCAGTGTATGGTTAAGGGTGTTGCTTACTCATGTTGAAAAGGTCGCTACGATAGTGTTGTCTGGTTGGGTGCCGTCTGTGTCTTAGAACTTAACCCAATAGCGTGTTTTTTTTGTTTATGCAAGTAATTGGTACCAATGTGGTCCCCTAAAAGCGTCTTTATAAGCATTTGGTTGAACTTATCACCCTCCCATGTCTCTCTTAGTTCTACAAAACCAAGATGTTGATGGCCATAACGGCAAACTTAAAGCTTCATAAAGATAGTCTTCAAACTAATGGGTGATGTGAAGTTGACTAGGTCGACTTCTCTCATAGTCTATGGCTCAAACCAAGATGGTAGTGGGAAAAATGCACTCCGAATGAATTGTCTATGTTCTTTGCAACATGACAGTATAAGAGGTTAGATATATGTATATATATATATATGCTGTCTGGATGTATCTTGACTAAGAGTTATTTCGTAACCCAAGATGTTCACGGATAAAGAGAAAGAAATAACAAGAGAAACTTCACAAGCTATTTCTCTGCCTCATCAAAAAAGTCCATCTGACGAGAAGCTGCGTTTCTCCCTCAGCGTCAAATACAAAAGGCGGAGGCTGGGAGAACCCACACACAAAGCATGGATCTAGTTAAAAAGGAGAACATCTATAAAGGGGGAGAAACACTCGGCACAGAGAGAGAGACAGAGAGGCAGACTCAGAAACCCGCTGAGCCCTAGATTATTCGACGGAGAGAGTTCCAAGAAAAAGATGCTGTTCTGAGAGGAGATCCAGATTTAGAGAGAAGTGGTAGGAATAGAGAGGAGATACAGATGGGGGGGGGGAGACGGAGAAGCAGGTCGACTCGTCAAATAATTCATGTTAGCATATCGGAGAACAACCTCATGCATTATTGATACATGTAGATTCAGGACTACTCCCTATCTCAACCTCAACATAGCTATAGATAGAGCTGCCTCTCCAAAGTGAAGAAGTTGGTGGTTTCCCTAGTAACTGAACACCATGGCCTCAGCGCTGACCTGAAGTGCTTTTCTTTCCCTTTTTGAAAACTAGTAGTCATGTCATGGAGAGGAGAAGCTGTATAGACTGTTGCAGTGTTTTAACAGCAGATTGTGGCTGGATGAAGATACTATTGAGTGCCGAATAAAAATAATAATCTTTATAATCACCGTTATAAAACCTTATATGCAAGTGACCTTCAGTGTGACACAATATAATGTTATCGTCCTTGCCCATATACTTTTGGTTTAGGGCCAAATTGGATCCAAATGTTGTACTTAAGAACTATTTTTACATTCTTGCACTTTACTTGAGTATTTCCAATTCATGCTACATTTACTCCACTGCATTCCAGAGGCAAGTATTGTACTACATTACAGTTAAAAAACTAGTTACTAGCTACAATGAAAGCACATGATGTGATGTGATTTGTTTATTTTAAGATACATATTCATTGAAAAAGTATCTAAATTGGCTCAACATTGTCAAAATACAACATTTCAATTATTTGACTTGTAATATTGATAAAAACAATTATATTTTTCCAATACTGTAAAAAATAGCCATTCTGCATACTGGGTACTTTTTATACAACAAGTACAGTGTACTGATAATACTCCCTAACTTCTACTGAAGTAATTCAGGATTATACCTTGTAATGGAGTATTTTAAGACAATAGTAATTCTACTTTTACTCAAGTAAAGGACCCGAGTACCTTTTCCACCACTGCTAGGGCGCATGTTGGTTCA